CATTTCAAATACTAGAGACTTGTGCTTTGGAATGTACATACATTTGAACATTATGTTCTGAAAGTTTCATAGAGATCGTACGTCTATAAATTAAATTATTGAGCAAATAAATTCTCATATTGCCCACACTGCAGTTGGCAGAGCACGTTTTTATACGTGCGTGAGGATGCATGTGCATGTATGTACATATATGCGTATAAAAGAAGTACAGAATAATTAGAATATCAGATGGAGGGTTCAGGGTATCTCCTAGTTGAGCAGTCTCGACTAGAGCCTTCTTACTTTTTTTTGGTTGGTTAAGGGTAGACTCTGGTCGAGCACTCTCGACTAGAGTTTTCTTATTTGTTTTATCTCTAATAGCAAGACAAACTCAAAATTACAATAAAAAAAAAAAACATACATTCTAAATTTTGGCGCATTGTAATATAACTGTTGAAGATATGGTCTTTGTTACGGGGAGTATCCGTTCATAAAGCTGTATTTCAATTATGTCCATAATTAAATTTCAAATTATCAGCCCAAACTGCATAAAAGTGCAGCATAAATATCTGATTAATTGTTGTTTTTTGTTTTGTTTTTGTTTTTTTTTTTTTTTTCAGGCAATGCTAAAACAATTCGTAATGACAATAGTTCCCGATTTGGAAAATTTATGCAAGTCTGCTTCAATGAAAAACACACGATTGAAGGTTGCGTAATACAAGATTATTTACTAGAGCAATCACGGATAACATTTCAAGGACCAGGAGAACGAAATTATCACGTCATGTATCAATTAGTAGCGCAAGGACAAAAAAACAAGGAAATGCAAGAAAATTTTTGCCTAAGACCTCCAGAATTTTACAGATATTTGAATACTTTTGAAGATATTTCAGTGGACATAAACTTAGAATCAAGGAAATTCAATGAATTAACAATGGCACTTACTGTACTGCAAATTTCGCAGTCAGATATAGACTGTATCTTTAAAGTTTTAAGCTCTATATTATGGTTGGGTAATATCGAATTTATGGATGTAGACGGTGAACGATGCGAGTTTTCGAAAAGTGATAAAGAAATTGTTGTCATATTATCTAAAATGTTGGGTCTCAGCACTGATGAGCTTAAAATGGTCTTATTGCTACGCCAGATAAACGTTCGGGGAAACATAACGGAAATTCCATTAAAGCTCCATGAAGTAAGTGGAAATATATTTTCAAATTGAACATCGTTCCGCTGAACCAATAATTCAATTTTATTTTGATTCGTAGATGGATATATATTATGAGTATGCCGTTTTGTTGTTATACAGTGAACCTATTTTCTGTGAGAAATCAAAAAACTATATATTCACAAACACTATATTCTCGATCAGGAACATGAGCTAAGTCTATTTAGGCCTGTCCATCTGTCTGTCTGTCCGTATGTATGCACGTGTAGATCTCAGAAGATATAAGAGCTAGAGAATATTATTTAGTTATCGATTCAAAATCTCATTTAACATTAGTTATTTAATTTTATCTCCTAAACTTTTTTCATGGCACATGCACGCATTTGAATAACGACCTAAACGTTTCATGAGGATAATCCATCGACAACTTATGTTATACAGGCCATGCTTGTTTATGCATGTGTGCTTATATGTGTCTGGCATATGCCTATATGTGTATTTCTTTTGTAAGGAGAAAGACGTGAAGGATTATTGAAATTTAAATTCTTCGAATAGCTAGAGCTTTCTTATTTGTTTAAAAATTAATTTGATAAAAGTAAAATTCATTGAAAATACAATTTTTGCATTCATTAAAGGCTAGAGAAAATCGACATGCGATGGCTAGAGCCTTATACTCGAAAACTTTTGCCTGGCTTGTAAATAAAATAAACATATGCACAAGTCCTGGAATGGACTTTAATCAATTTCTAGGAGTACTCGATATTTTTGGATTCGAGAATTTTACAAGGAATTCATTCGAACAACTTTGTATTAATTATACGAACGAAAAATTACACAAATTCTTTAATCATTACGTCTTTGCGTTGGAACTTTCTATAGTAAGTACAAAAAACATAATGTTATGATTCAAATATTTTTTTTTTTTCAAAAATTGGCTTGTATTGATATGGTTCTCTCTCTGAAATAACTTTTAATTTTTCGTTAGTATAATACCAAATTTTTTATACCCTGAGCCCATTGAAAATGCGAAATTAGCCTATAATGGGTTTTTTAAAAGTATGTAACCGGCAGAAGGAGGCGAGGCAGATCAGGGCGAAATCTGAGTCGATTTAGCTCTGTCCGCCTGTCTGTCCGCCGTCCGTTCGTATGTATGAACGCGCCGATCTCAGAAGGTGTTTATCACTAAAAATCGATAACTACGCCCGATATTTAATTAATGTACATACATTTCAATATTATGATTAAGTTCTGAAAATGTCATTAAGTTTTTACGTCTAGAAATGAGATTATTCAACAAATAAATTCTTATGAAATTGACAGCACTGCAGCGAAGCCCAAGCGCAGTTGCTGCTCACTGCGCAGTTAGCAGAGCGCATTTAATTCGTGCATGATTAGAACATCAGATTGGAGGGTTCAGGGCATCTCCTAGTCGATCAGTCTCGACTAGAGTCTTCTTACTTTTTATTTTGATAATATTGTAAATAAAATCTGCATCTCTTTTAGTATAAGCAAGAAGATATCAATTATACACACGTTGAGTTTAAAGATAACTCATTATGCTTGGAGCTTATAGAAAAACCTCCTCGGTGCATATTTAAACTTCTTACTGAACAATGTCACATGCCCAAGGGATCGGACTCAGCGTATTTGAATAACCTGCATTCGGAATTCGAATACAATCCTATGTACATAAAGGGCTTGGATCGTCGTCATTGGGAAACAGAGTTTGGTATTAGACACTACGCAGGAAAGGTCATTTATTCAGTTGAAGGATTTGTTGATAAAAATCGAGATATGCAACAAGATGTTCTTTTTGATTATATGAGTCGCAGTAAACACTCATTTCTTTGCGATCTTGCTAAAAGCCAGGTAAGTTATTTTTAATAGTAAAAAGACAAATGTCATTTCAGGAGCTACATCAAATCCCGCAATCAGCATATTCATTTGTATCAGTAACCATAGAACACATAGTCCGGACACGTAGAGTAAATCGTTTTGCACCTTTTTTTTGACCGGTGCGTCCCACACAACTTCGTATTTGCTCGTATAATGAACTGTTGAAAATATTTCGTTTTCGTTATTATTATTTGTGAGAAGGGTTGAAGCGTTGGTGCTCAAAATAAAATTTTTTTCGCGACGAGCGAAGTTCTGCTGCCTGTAGAAATTTTATAGCCCAGCATTTGCATTTGGTTGATATTGTGAAGTGCTTACACACACATACGTGTATGTTTGATTGCGTGTGCGCAGGGCTCGCGATGCTCACAAATTGTGGGCTATCACTTGTAGAAGCATGTATATATTTTTGATTGGTTTTCAATACATTCAAAGTTCTTTGAATAGTAACGAGTCAACATTGTTCATTTTCAAAACAGCGAGATTTGACGGGAATAACTGATTTGGCAACACTGATCAATATAGTGATCATGACTTGCGGTCTATCTGTATATCTGAACGCTTCGATCTATTAAATTAAAGCAGTGAATTTTCTTTGAAAAAATCTAATATTAACAAAGTAAATGTATTGTTAGCTTGGGGTAGGAGAGCATATTGGCCGTCCTGTACTCTGTTGCTCTGATCTCGAAATTAAACTGACGCTGATTTTGGGTTATTATCTGTATGTGGGTATTTCTTTTCGATTATTGTGCTAATAAGATACACCATTTGTAACAGCCTAACTGAGCTCTAGGCAAAGTTTTTAATAGATCAGTATGGCTCACAATGCACACAGATAAGTATTGGTAATTTTCTCTCTTCTCTTATTGGCAGCACATATCTGTGTGCCCAAAAATTACTATTGTTGAAGGTGGTGCTCGCAAAAACGGTGAGAATATTCTCATTTAATCATCAGACTTGTATTCTCGTGACGTAATCAATGGGTCCTCAAATAATCTCCTAGTTCGAAATCTCGGCAACAATATATACAGAAAACTCAATAGTTAAATGAGATTATATTTCTCGTGCTTCACCAACCATAATTTTATTTCATTATATAAAGGACCAATCGTGCTCTAATTTGATACCAAATGTTTCAACCAACCAACGGGGTACAAGCAAATCTAAATCTACAGTCAGCGATCAATTTCGTCAACAATTGCAATCCTTGATTGACGTACTTCAGAATACGAAACTATGGTAAGTTTATTTCTGCGACTGTAATTAATGTGTATAGCAAAATTAGAATTTTACTTTCAGTTATCAATTGCTAAAATAAATTCAATTATGTGACTTAATATTTGATATAGAAATGGAATGATCCGTGAAAATTAAAAAAAAAAAAAAATTAAAAATTACTAAGAACTTTATAGTCGGGCGTTACCGACTGCGAAATACTCATTCGCATCTCATCAGCAATTTATTAGGGTATAATGGTTTTGTTGAAACAGGCAGAAGGAGGCGTGGCAGACCCAACAAAGTATATATATTCTTGATCAGGGCGACAAGCTGAGTCGATATAGCCCTGCCCGTCTGTCCGTCCGTTCGTCCGTATGAGCGCCGAGAGCTCAGAAGATACCATTCATAGTTTATTTTTATTACCAATTATAATCAACGAATTGATTTAGTTTTTGTCACGATTAGACCAGAAGATTCCGATTTACTGCGTGTATACATTTAATAATTACACAGATTTTGTTAGTTACTGATTTTTGATACTACGCTTGCAATGCTCACACATTTGAGCATTAAGATCCCATTCTGAATATTTCATGAAGATAGTCCTACAAGAGAAATTATTCAAGAAATTAAGTCTTATAATATTGCTTACATATTATCCAAGTACAGTTGCTGCCAACTGCTCTTTTAGCATTATGTGTGTATCCATATAAATAATACAGAATGATTAGAATATCAGCTTGGAGGGCTCAAGGTGTCTCCTGGTCGAGCAGTCTCGACAAGAGTCATCTCATTTATAACTTTTAATATTCAAAAAAAAGGCTTTGCATTCAAATCATCTTCAATAATTAACTTTAAACATTTTACAGGTATATTCGATGTATAAAACCAAATTCTCTTAAACAAGCGAACATATACAATGATTCCTTAGTTCTCGATCAATTGAGGTACCTTGGAATCTTAGATATAATTCGAATAAGACGGGAAGGCTTTCCAATTCATCTGACTTTTTCAGAATTCACATCAAAATATAAATGTTTAATAAGAAATAAAACATGTTCTAATAGCGTTAATGACATACTGATGGTATTAAGGGAGCTTAAAGTCCCTGAAACTGAGTGGCAAATTGGAAAAACAAAAATATTTTTAAGAAGCTCTGCAATTGAGCCTTTAGAGGATGAAAGAAAAAGTATAAGATGTGCCAACTCAATAATTATACAGAAAAACTGGAGACGTTACCTAAACAATAAGTATTATATGCATGTAAAGAAATCTATACTTATTATACAGCACGCGTATAGGGGCTGGAAATTGAGAATTAAATTTTTAAGAATTCGTCGAAGCGTAATAATAATACAAAGTCGATTACGTGGTGTATTCGCAAGAGAGGTAAGAAAATACAAATGAAAACCTTTAACGTACTACTTATATAGGTTGGTCGAGGCATAGCCTATCATTATTGTTAGAATAAGTGTATTCTATTCACACTGATGTGCTTAATGTGCATGTAACTTCGGCAGCTGAACCTTATAACTAATTTAAGTTGAGTAATTCAGTATTAGTAAATTTAAAAACTAATCACTGAATAATAAGCTAATCAAACTTAAATGACAAGCCCTTTTTTAGCGGTAGTAAATAATTGAAGTCAAACCTGCGAAAAGTGCTCTCCAGATTTTACAATACGCTATAGCTTAGAAACTAATATATATAGTTTGATGATTAAATTTAATGGATTTTCTATTGTGAAATTCAAGACAGACTGCATATTTAATGGATTTCTACGCATACTGCAAATACTTTACATATATTGTAACCCAAGAATATAATCTCAAGATTGTTAGTACTATCAGTGCGTCTATTAATCTTTTTATACCCTGAACCCATGGAAAATGGGAAATCAGGGTTTTTCAGATTTACTGTGTATATACATATTATGAATACAAACATTTTGTAATCAACAG